GTGGTGGGGGTCATAGTGGTGGGGGTCGTGGTAGTGGTGGTTGTAGTTGTAGGAGGGGGCCCACTATCCATACTCCCCCCATGACCTCCTGTCTCACAAGTTGGGGGGGCATAGCCATAATCACAGTGGCAATGTCTCAAGTTGTTACACACCCCTCTTCCATGACACTTGGTAGCTGGATTGCACTCAAGCTTGAGCAACCTTGCATCAGAGCAGACATGGCTTATGCAGATCTTGTTTGGGCCACACCTGGTACCAGTGGGCACTTGTGCTCTATCAGGAATATCAGTCTCCTCAAAGAGGTCTGCTGCCCAGCACCAAGTTTCAGCATGCATCACATGGATGAAGGTGTGGTGGTCCCTACTTTGGGGCACATTCAGCACCTTCTCACATATAATCTTCCCACACTTGGCATCTTTCTCAGCACACTTCAAAAAGTGCTTGTACAGCCCAGGATATTTACTGCCACAGTTCCCAAACCGGTCTCCTTTGGTATTCATGAACCGATAGCAACCATCCCGGGCAGATATGGCTTCTTTGCCAAAGATCTCAACACACTGTTTATTCAGGTCCCGACAGTGCCCTCCATAGCAAAGCCCTTCACCTGCGCACCGGGTGCCATCTTGTTTGTAGACATCTGGTTGGCACCACATGGAGGTTCCATTGCAATATTCAGGGAGGTCACACTCATCCCTACTGGGACGGCAAACACTGCCCCTTAACTGAAATTGGCAGTACTCACAGCAGGGCCCGAAGGCACATACGGAACCTCTGGTCATCCTGCATGTGGGAAGACAGCAAGAGTCCCTTGAGCAGGTCTCAATACTGCCACAGTCACACTCCTCCCCTCTGTCTGATGCTTGGTTCTCACAGACTGACATTCTCAGTATTTTCTTGGGCTCTGGCTTGTACAAAATGCAGGACCCATAGTGTGATCTCAGTGTTTGAAAGAAGTCATCGATACTGCAGTTACTATACGCACTTTCATAAGTGATAAACGCATGCATGATGCAAAAAATGTATTGACCATAAATGCAGATCCTGTGGTCATGCAACATGCCTAGATTGTGGCCCAGCTCACGGGACATAAGGGTAGTGAAGCGGGTTATGTCTTCATGATAGAAGGATTCAACCAACGCAGCTCTCCCGGACACGCAATTACTTCTGTAACAGACATCACCCACTATGCTTCCAGGATTATGCCCTACAATCAGATGAGCAACATCATCATATGCCCTATAGAAGAGCTCCAACTGCCTCCGTGTATTGAAAACAGGAAGGAGGTCCCTCATACCACGTGGAATCGTGACCAGATTTTTCTCTGTCTAGATCTCCAAACCAACAAACCAATCATGACGACTCTGGTGTTGAGCTCACAGGTAAACGAGTCGACATGTGAGATGACATTGATCACCTTCTGGGTTGTCCTGGTCACATTTCCATCCCATATTTCAAACCTTTTCTTGCCAACCATAATGAACATCTTCACGTACTTGGTGTGTGACCAGACAGAATCCATAGGTCTTATCGGAATTCCCACCTCTGTGTCATCTACATCTATATTTATATCATGTTCCCCTTTTAAATGGCTCCTGAATTGAAGAGATTCTCTCTTAGGCCCCTTGCAGGTATCCAACGTGTCCTTTTTCATTTTGTACAGGACATGTTCAAACTCACTTGAGGCATCAATGGGCTCAATGTTATAGACTGTTTTCTCTATGGTTATTATACCCTTGAGGCCAGAGCAGGTACTGAGAGACACTAGGGAGCCCAGATCACTTT